GCTCTGCTGGTCTTTGACTGACCTCCAATTCCTTCGATGCGTAATGTTGTATCATTAAGTTTTACTGACAACATTGATGCCATTCGTTCAGAGATCAGGTTGATCTGTGATCCTGAATCCAGCAAGGCTCTGAAATTGGCTCTCTGTCCATTGTTTGCTTCTACTGCTACTTTTGCTGTAGCTAACAGGTTGTAATTATTGTTACTTGCTGCGCCAACCGTCGGTGCTCTTGGTTCTGTACTTACGCCCGATGGTATGTCCAAGTGCAGCAGTGTATTGTGTTTTTTGTCGCATTTGAAACATGTCCGACCTGGGCATGCATTTGTTTTGTGGCTTGTTTTAAAACAGTTGACACACAATTTCTGCTTTTGTACCCAATTTAGTCGTTCTGATGGTGATTTGGAGCGAAACTCATCGCATCCGTAGAGCCAATGGCTTGCCTTCTTGCAGAATGAGCAGAGAGGCGTCTTCGATTTTCCAGTATTTACTGTTGCACATGTTGTGCCTTTTGGCTCTTTCCTTGACATTTGTGTCTTTTTGCCTGTTCCTAGAACTCGAACTCTTTGTTCTAGGAACTGAAGCATTGTGTCCAAGGCCTGTATTTCCTTTGAGCTTCCCAATGATTGCTCGTACAAGGCTCTGTTAGTGACATCTAGCTTATTTTTGATGACGGCAATCAATATTGGATCCCATGTGGATATATTGATGCCCAATCCCTTTAGTGATGCCAGGGATTCGATACACCGATAGAAAAAAGCCCTGAAATTTTAATATTTTCACTTAGATTTTAATATTTATACCATTGATTTTCATCCAAGAGTGGTTGTATTAAAATTGAATATTTTTCACTTAAATTTTGATATTAATATAGAAATATTTAAATTTAATATATTTCATATTTAAATTTAATATGTTTCATATTTAAATTTAATATGTTTTATATTCAAATTTAATATGTTTCATATTTAATGTTAATATGCTTCATATTTAAATTTATATTAATTTTTAACTAATTGGTTATTATTTTGCGTACGCAAATTACATTTCAAGTCCTAATGGTGTGAATTGGTTAAAGTTTTCAACTAGAAATAATCGCAACATGAGTAGAACTGTATTGGTTGTGATTATGCCCCTGCGCAGAGATAATTTTACTTTGTATTCAAGGCTGCAGCAGCGCGAACCAGTTGGGAATTCGAGGGACATACAAAAATAATATAACATAGTTAAAATAAATAAAAAAAATATTTGATTTCATTTAATATGGAATATTTAAAATAAAAAGTTTTTCCTTTGGATTTTAAAAGAAAAATTTTGAAATCAAGTTTTAATAATATTCAATTTAAATATGAAACATATTAAACTACAAATTTAATATGTTATAGTTATTTTGAAGTGTTTTGTATTTAGGTTAAATATGACCGTATTTAAAAAGCATTTTTAATACATTTATATTTGAATCAAAGTGAATTCTATTTAATTTTACTATGTTTGTATTTAAAAATGGCATTTTAAATTCAAATATGATTGTAGTTATTTTTACTATCCCTTTATTCTATCAGTGTAGTTGTAACGTACAACTCTTTTAATGACTTGGAGTCGTCATTAACTGTGTTATAATTTAGGAAGCGGTTTAATACCGTGCTAGCGACGTCTCTGGGATTGTTGTATGTATCAATCAGAATTTCCCAGGCGCTCAAATAGTTTTCTTCCTTTAGATCGATATGTCGGATCAATCTTTCTGCCTCTCCAGTTACGGTTGTTTTCAGATACCACATCTTCCGAACTGTGGGCATGTTTGTTTCATGTATCATACATGAAAACAGGTCATAGAACTGGGACCATTTCAGTATGTCCCCATCAAACTTGGGAATGTTAATGCGTGGAAGCTGCACGTCATTATTGTTTGATGTGGCTGGTTTTGCCAATGCACTTTGAACCTCTTTTTCCAGGGTCAGGTAGGCTTCCATGTTGTATCCTCCTTCCTCTGGGTTATCGTATTCTTCGTGAATAGTAAAATGGACTTCTTGTGCTTGAATCCATAGTGATTTTATCAAATCACTTGATGTACGTCCTCCCGCCTCTGAGAATTGTCTCAGAATGCGTTTTATGGACGCTACTATGGCCTTTTGTCGGCGACATAGTGAAGGCAATTTGCTGTAAGTCTCCGTGGTGACAGCGTGTTCCTCCATTTCGCCTCTTACTTGGGGTCGGGGTCACCAAATGTTAATGTGTGTTTGTGTGTGTGTTTTGGTATGCATACGGTACATAAACCGTCTACAAATTTGTCGTCGCAACTAGAACTTGAACCAGTTGGACTGCGGAGAGGGTTTCCTACGTCGAGCAAATGAGGGTCTGAAGACACGGCGACAGCCTCTGTTGATTGCAGTTGTAGAGAATGAGTGAACAGGCAGTGATGGTACTGTTTCTGATACTGATTTTATTCAACAAACTTAATTTCTATTTATAGGTAACAAAAGGTACAGAAAGTGCTGAGTCTAGTTAGAATATGGTAAAAGGGAATTGGAATAAATATTGAATTAATTTGGATTTAATATGATATTGTGTTATTGGGCAATTGTGATAGTCAGCAATTGCACCAGTGGTTTTGCCCTCTGACGAGCGATCGCATCGTTGGCAGAAATTGCTGCAGAAGCGGTTATTGTTGACTCAGCTACAATGCCTTGTCGTTTGTTATTATGTCTCCCGTTACATGGGTCGACCTGACTTATTCGATAAGTGTATATTATGTAATATTAATTACTGCATAAATATGCGACTGAACAAAGCATTGCATTCGAAATCTTCGTATCGTCTCCTATCGATAATAATGAACCATAGATCGATGACACTGTATCGATGAGGCTTCTTAGGGACGATGCGGACTGTTGCGAAATTTTTGGCAGATTAAACAGTGCGGAGATTTGGTTCGAGAATATTAGACATTCGTTGTCATATACTCGCTTTAGGCTGTCCATGGCCTTTGCATAATTGGCCTCGGTAACTTGGAACGCCTTTATTGTTCCTAATGCTTCATTAGAGAGGCACGAAATTAAATGATTAAATTTTTCGATCACCGGTATACTCTCATCATTATGAACAAGAGTCTCAAAAAGGCTAATACAATTTTTAAACTCCGAATATTTACCACTAAATTTTGGTAGTGCCAATTTCGGAAGTCGAGCACGAGTTGGGGCTGTAGAAGCTGATACCGAGGGCGGCGTATCGCTTGTTAGCTTCAAGGCATCGATAAGCGACATTATCTTTGCCTTGGTTACAATGGCCATTTCTTCCAGCTCGGCTCCAAATTCATCTTTGCTATCAATTTCTTCTATTTTCTCCTGCAATAGGTTGGCCTTGTTAATAGCAGAATTCAGAACATCGAGTCTGCATTGTAGCTCTGTCAATCAGAACATCGAGAACAGACTTATTTTCTTGTGCCATTTTACTATTTATAATCTTCGCGACAGAAACCAATATTTTTGTAGATAAAGAAATAATAAATGTTCAAACAAGAACGAAAACCGAGAACGACAATAATTGAATGTCGAGGCACGAGGTGTATAGTTGGTTGCAAGTGACAGCCAAACCAATATACCCTAAGAATGCAGGGTAGCGCGTCACTTGCGAAGTGACAAGAAAAACAATATACCCTCGAAAAACATGGTAGCGCGTCACTTGGCGCTCCGTTTTGATCAAGCGCGGCAACGAAATTCTCCCACCAAATACACAGCAAGCAACGGTGGATAAGCGAAAGCGAGAGACGAAAAGAATGCACCGGTGCAGCTGCTTGTATGTATGTATGTAAGTGGAAGTGTTATACACCGCGGCTTGGGTTAACGAACCAACTTTTTGGCGAATTTCACACATCGAGAGTGGAAAGGGGGGGGGGGGCAGTGATTGCGGTAAACGATATATATATAATTGTGCGTCCAAATAGCGGTTCAAATAGAGTATGGTATGGTTTTTGTACATATGTGTTATATAGTGTTATATATGTATGTATGTGCACTAATAAATTAAATGCATGCAAATCAAACTCTACTATATCATACGGCTGTGCCAAGAATTGAAAGCGAGGTCCAATTTTTCCAGCACAAGACAATTTATATATGTATTTATGTATGTCTTCGCCTCTAGCTTTCAATTTTTTGCAGGCACATTTTTAAAGATACTATAAAACTAAAAACGCATTATCGTAGAGAATGTCATATCTACCAGACTGCCAAATTCAGTGGTTTCCTCTGCCCCCTCCAGACAACGACCAAGCAACTCATTTTCCTTCTCGCTCGCACACTCTGCCGCGTTCAGTGCGCGAGCAACCCCTAGCGGAGGAGATGTAGAATCCAATTGGAACATGTACAATCTACATGTTAGATGTAGAATATACATTGTATATGTAGATGAAGATATCAGATGTAGCAAAAAAATGTAAAATGTAAAATTTTTTTTTTAATTCTAAAATTCTTAAAAATTCTACTGACTGAGTACGGGTATAAGTAGAGTCGCGTCTTTAGAAGCGACTCACACGTTCCTTCTCGTTGTGACACTGTTTGTGCTATCACTGTGTCACTATCACTATTATTTGTTGCCTTTATTTTTATTCTTTATCGTCCACCCGGGGCGCCAATGAAAATTTAGAATAGTTTTTCTAATTAACGAAACCGAAATACTTGGGTGGCGTAAAGATTTATTAAAAGCGGGGACGAAATAATGTAGGTGCGCTCGATCGAATTCAATTTCAACGATTATATTCTAAAAATTCATTACACTTCATTCTATGCCTAACTAACCTACGGTGGCAAAGCGGGGCGAATTCGCCTTGAGCGAAAGAGCGAGCTTGTATTGCGCTCCCGCCTTGCCCTAACCTACACTGATAGAATAAAGGGATAGTAAAAATAACTACAATCATATTTGAATTTAAAATGCCATTTTTAAATACAAACATAGTAAAATTAAATAGAATTCACTTTGATTCAAATATAAATGTATTTGAAGGTGCACGCAGGCTTCGGGGGAATCCAGAGGGCGATGTGGGCTAGGTGGGCGATCTCGGGGGAAATCGTTAGAAAAGAGAACACAAGTATGTCTATTCAAGATACGTTTTATTCCAAGCATGACTTTTACATTTCATTTTTCGTGATCCCTCAATCTTCTCCAACTCCCCCGCAAGGTATATAAAAACCCGGTGAGGCCGTGGCTTAGTGATTGGTTGGGAACGCTGGGGGTCGAACGCCAACATCCCGCCCCCCTTTGCAATGTATTGCAACTTATGGGAAGTCCAATGCTGCAGAAATGCTTTACGGCCGGCACCCGCCCGACAGCGTCCACCCGAAGACGGTGTGCTGTGCAACGGGGAGCCCCTCGGCACTCGGCAGCATTCCATCGCGGATGACGTCACCATACACGTCCGCTCCCAGAATGAGAGCCACAGTGGCCGGGCAATGAAAGTTGTCGTCTGCCAACGTTAGGTGATTGAATTTGCTCCGTATGCGATCACCGATGGACGCGGAGGGAGTTCGCAGATGCAGCTTCGGATCCACCTGGAACACGACCTCCAACTGGAAGTCCGGGGACATCGGTGACCGGAGCACTGCTGCACAGGCTTCTTCATCCCCGATCCTGGACGTGCGCAAATGGAAGGCCTTGGCCCGCGACGCGTTGATCGCTGACATGGGGCGGCAGGGGTCGATCAACGCCCTGGTCTCATAGGTGGTGGTCCCGTTGTCGACGGTGACGCTTGCGGTCGGTAGTACCTGCGGGTTGCGGTGCTGCAGCAGTGTGGTCAGAGTCGGAGGTCGGCTGGAGGAGGATGCCGAAGTCCTCGGAGGAGTAGGCCGTCGATCAGTCGCTGTGTCCCGCGTTCGAGGTCGGCGGGAGGCGGAGGATGTCGTCGTCGGAGCTCGAGGTCCAGCTGGTGAGGATGGTGTGACGGATGTGGGGCGACGACGATTTGTGTCCGGGATATGCAGGAGGGTGTGGTGGTGCTTGTGGCAATGCCGACACCGGTCTCCGCTGCGGCAGTCGCGTCCCGAGTGCTCATGGGCTAGGCAGTTGGGGCAGTACTGATTGATGAGTGCTGCCCGCAACCGCTTTTCAGCGCTTAGCCGCAGGAACCGCCCGCACTTCCTAAGAGGATGGACGCCTCGGCAGACTCGGCAACGGTAGGACATAGTACCTCGGGTACGTCTGCTGTCGTGAGCTTGGCCCTCGGTGCTTCTGCGTTGGGTGCGTGTGGGCTGCTGGGGTGCCATAATGAGACCGTGGCTGCGGAAATCGGAAGTGAGGATTAGTAATGATGTGCAGGAGAGTTGTACGGACGAGTTGTCCTTAAGCCTAAGGATAAGAAGGCGGATACTTATGGGTCGGGTAGTACGCGGGAGTAGGTGGACTGGATCTCCGACTCCATAGGCAGCAGGACGACCCTAGTAATCGGTCTTTTGATAAGGCCTCGGACAGTGTTAAGGTCTATCACACGGACCTTATCATCGGGCCCAGGGTACGTTTTTTGTACCCGTCCGAGACGCCATTCGTGAGAGGGGATGTTATCCTCCTTGATAACAACGAGGTCTCCCACCTCTAGGTCTCTTGTTGGATGCTGCCATTTGGTTCGCTTGTGCAACTCTCGTAGGTACTCCGTTTTCCAGCGCGAACAGAATTGCTGGTTTAGAGCCTGGAGATGTTGCCAGCGGTTCAGGATGGAGGAGGCGCTCTCTTTTATTTCAGGCTCCGCCACGGAGAGTAGCGGCCCGCCGATCAGGAAGTGACCTGGGCTTAGAGCTAGCGGGTCATTCGGGTCCTCGGACATAGGAGAGATCGGTCGAGAGTTAAGGCAGGCCTCAATTTTGGAGAGTAAGGTGGCGAACTCCTCCAATGTATATTTGGCCGTACACATCGACCGTTGGAACAGAGTCTTGAAACTCTTCACGCCTGCTTCCCAAAGGCCACCCATGTGTGGGGCTCCCGGAGGGATGAACCGCCACGATAAGCCCTGCTGACTGTATACCGCAGAAGTCCGCGTTCGGATGGCTTCGAGAAGATCTACAGCCAGAGCACGAGATGCGCCGACGAAATTCCTGCCGTTGTCGGATTGGACCTCGTGAGGACACCCTCGTCTCGCGACAAAACGAGCGAAAGCGGCTAGGAAGGTGTCAGTGGATAGGTCGGAAGTGGCCTCTAGGTGGATGGCTTTCGTGGTGAAACACACGAACACGCACACATAACCTTTGGTTATGCGGCATGCGCGCCCGATGAAGCTCTTGACGTCGAAGGGACCGGCAAAGTCGACTCCGGTGTATGTGAATGGTCTGGAGAATGTGACTCTTGTGGACGGGAGGTCACCCATTAACTGGGTCTGGAGTCGCTTGCGATGGATTACGCATACTTTACAGGATTGGATCACCGCCTTCACTACGTGACGTAGTCGAGGGATCCAGTAAGTTGCACGGAGAAGGCGAATGACCAGCTGGTTCCCACCATGGAGGACTATGTGATGAGTGAAGCGCACCAGCAGGCGAACGAGGAGGGATGCGGGTGGCAGTAGGATTGGATGTTTCTCGTTGTAGGACATGGAAGCGGAGGCTTGGACTCGGCCACATGCTCGCATGACACCGTTCTGGTCAATGAATGGATTGAGATTCCGTAGGGAACTCGATGCAGGGAGAGGACGTTTGGTTGTAAGGCACCGATGTTCGTCCGCATAGTGCATGCCCTGCGTTGCGATGGTAACGGCTTGCAGTGCGGCCGCTATCTCTGCCCCGCTTACCTCGTTGGAATTGTGGACTGACCCTCCTCTGCATCGTTGGATGAATCGCTGCACATAGGTAAGCACGCGCAAAGCTCGCCCGAGATCCGAGAATCGGCTGAGGATGTCAGAGGATGTGCTACTTGTATGCAGCACCTTGACTGCTCGCTTCTCCAAGTCAGTCTCCGGGAATGGGTCCAGTGGACACGGCCACTGTGACTGCGGAAGACGCAGCCAAGCAGGACCATGCCACCACATGTCGTTCCCGCGAGGTCGATGGGTCCTATACCTCGGCTGGCTAGGTCGGCAGGATTGTCTTCCGATCGAACATGACTCCACAGCTCGCCGGAGTTGCAGCGCGCTATCTTGGCGACTCGATTGCCCACGAACGTGGTCCATTCGCACGCTGGTTTGTGCAGCCAGGCCAGCACAATGGTAGAGTCGGTCCAGAAGGATACCTGGCTACTGTCTAGCGGCATCTGTGGAAGGATGGCAGCGGACAATTCTGCCAGAAGAACCGCTCCGCACAGCTCAAGTCGAGGCAAGGATATCGTCCTCACGGGGGCCACGCGAGTCTTAGCTGTCAGGAGAGAGCAGAATATGCCATTCGGCCGCTCCACTCGGACGTAGATCGCCGCACCATAGGCACGCTGAGACGCGTCGCAGAAGCCATGAATCTGCACCTTGGCAGTCGGACAGACGTGGATCCACCTTGGTATGTGGATCTGCTGGATGGCCGGAAAACTCTGCAGGAAGGTCTCCCACGTTTGACGCAGATCGCCAGGAAGGTCCTCGTCCCAACCTAACTCTCGTAACCACACCTCCTGCATGAACATCTTAGCTTGGATGACAAAGGGGGCAAGCCATCCCGCTGGATCAAACAGCTTCGCAATCTGGGACAACACATTGCGTTTCGTGCAGGATTCCCGATGGATTAATTCGGGAGGGACAAAGAAAAACTCGTCGGCACTCGCTTGCCATCGGATACCCAAGGTCTTTGCGATACTGCTTTCTTCGAGCTCGAGGAAATCAGCTCGCAGTAAGTGCTCGAGAGGGATGTCGCTCAGCACGCCCTTCTGATTTGCGGTCCATTTTCGGAGTGGAAAGCCGGCGGAATCGAGTGCTTCTCGCAACTCGGCGATGGCGGAAATTGCCTGAGGCTGGGTATGTGCACCAGCTAGAACGTCGTCTACGTACATGTAATTGGCCAGGATGTCGCTTGCCATTGGGAACCGAGGATGCACTTCATGTGCAAGTCGCCTTAGGACGCGAATGGCGAGAAATGGCGCGCAGTTGACTCCGAAGGTGACCGTATCGAGTTCATAGTCGCACACGTCCCCGTTAGGATTGCGAAAGATTATCCGTTGGTAGGGAGTGTGTTGTGGCGCCACGAGGATCTGCCGATACATCTTATTGATGTCGGCGTTGAAAACGTAACGGAATACGCGCCACTTAAGGATTTGCGTGGTCAAGTCGGACTGAAGGACTGGCCCTGAATGCAATACGTCATTAAGGCTTCTTCCGTTCGAGGACGGGCTGGACGCGTTGAAGACCACGCGCACCTTGGTCGTTGTGCTTTCTGGCTTGAAAACGGCATGGTGTGGAAGATAGAAATGGCCAGAGTCATGACTAGGTGGAACCTGTTTCATGTGGCCTAGCTCTAAATACTCGTGAATGACATCGTCGTACTGCTTCTTGAGAGGCAAGTTTCGCTGCAGACGCTGCTCGTTTCTCAGAAACTGGGCGTGGGCCGAAGGCCTCGAGTAGCCCAAGTCTATCTTTTCTGGACATTTGAATGGAAGAGTGACGATGTATCTCCCGTCGGGAGCTCGCTGCGTGGTCTGGAGAAAATGGAGTCTGACTCGCTCGTAGGTCTCCCTGGAAGGTCCTCCACCTCCCAAAACCTTGTGAGAAGTTTCTCGAGTCGGACGTCAGAGCTGACCGAGATCTTCGTGGTGAAGGAAGAGATGATTCGAGACGAGTCAGCTGCGACAGGACCGGATAGGACCCATCCGAAGATAGTCTCTTGGCCCAAGAGCGAGCCACAAATGTTGGACCGGAAGCCGCTTAAAAGGATGGATGGAAGGATATCAGCGCCTATGAGCACGTCTATCTGCGCGCTGCGATGAAAGGAGGGATCCGCTAAATGGAGTTTAGGAAGGTCTGTCATGTAGTTCTGCGGTACAGGGTATGACGGGAGGTTACCCGCCAATTGCGGAAGAACGTACGCCGTGGTCTCAACCTGGAGGCCGGGCCTTAAGGCGGAGCCGATCGTGAAGTGGCAGAGTTTCTGGGCCTTGGCCGCTACCGTTTGACTCAAACCAGAGACTTGAGCCTGGACGGCTTGGAAGGGGGGCCGAATGATTTTGAACATCCGCTCAGTAATAAAGGTGGCCTCAGATCCGGAGTCGATCAGGGCTCTAGCCTTGTATCTTGTGCCGGCATGACAAATGTCCACTATTGCTGTGCCCAGTAGCACCTGGTGTACATTTGTAGCGCAATAGCTCTGGACATGGGCTGAGTCGTTGGACGAAGGAAGAGAAGAGGAAGTGGACTGTATGGTGGCAGGGGCTTGTGTGGTGTGAGGACTGGGAGCACAGTTGGAGCCACTCGGAGTCTGCTCGCCCCGATGAAGGAGGGTGTGGTGTCGTCCACTGCACGTACTGCAGTTGTACGCGCTGGTGCAGTCCCGGAGTTGGTGTCCTCGCGCGAAGCAGTTTAAGCAGAGTTGTTTCTGCTGAATGTAGCTTGACCGGGCATGATCGCACAGGATGATAGCTCCTGGAACAGAGGTCGCAAGTGCGCGCCTTGTTGGAGATTCTCCCCTCAAAGGAGTTCACTCGTCGATGTGCAGGAGTGGGAAGGCTTGGACGGGAATTGTAGTGCGGCTCGATGCCTGGATGACCGTCCTCGGTCGCCTCGAGAGAGAGGTATCTCTCCTCTAAGAACTTGTTCATGGCGCGCCAAGTCGGAACCTCGAATTTATTCGGAACCGATTGTTCCCAAAGCTCCACGGTCGCCTTTGGTAACTTCGCGGTAATGAGGTACACCAGCACGCCATCTGCAAAGCAGCTGTCGGTGGACACCTCGGAGTGCTGAAGGGTCGTGAGGCATTTGTGGACAGACCTCTGGAGCTCCTTTAAGGCGGCTCCAGATTCAGATCGGATGGAAGGAAAGCTGAAAAGGATCTTCAACTGGGCCTTGAGTATCAGCCGTTTATTTTGGAAACGCTCACGAAGGTGGTTCCAGGCAGATTCAAACCCATCATTCGTAAGCGGGGCCTGTGCAACTATGTCGTGGGCTTCACCGCTCGTTTTCCGGTTGAGGTGGTATAATTTCTCCACCGGAGTCAACCTGGCGTTGTTTATGTAGATGGCGGTGAATAGGTCTCGGAACGTGGGCCACTGCTGGTAGTCTCCACTGAAAACCTCCGTGTCGCATGGGGGAAGGCGGCAATCGTTGGACATTTGCACCTGGACGGCTGGTTGCGCGGTCGGAATGACAGTTGGGGGCTGGAGATGGTCGTTGAGTTCAGCTAAACTTTGCTCGTACACCGCGTAACATTCATCGTATATGTCTTGGACCTCAACTTGACCATCTGGATCCTCTGTTGCTAGAAGTGCAGAACAGGCTCGATACTCCGATTCGACCTCCAACCACATGCCTCGGATCTGTTCCCGGCGGACTTGAGAAAGAGAGATGGTTGGGGTGCGGGCATCAGGAGCATTAAGTTTCTGGTCAAAGTGAGTGAGCCGGCCTGTAGCCAAAACAAACCTAGACCGTGCAGAGCTGGCGGCAGATTGGGCCATTGTTCCTGGAACCGTGCACGTGGATGGTGAGGGACACAAGAGGGTGTCGAAAATGGAGTGGCAGACCTTGGAAGTGGTCGGACCTTGCGGGCGTGAGGGCGAACGCGACGAAGTGGGTGTAGTAACTGCTGCGGAAGAGCTGGGCGGCTTGGCGTCACTCTGCGAGCTTACACGCTTTAGTTTTTTGCTGACTTTCTTTCCACCAGAAGGCATACTAAGCTGATGGATCTGCTATGGGAAGAGTTCGCAATTCCTGTGGTACACGGAGGGAAGAGTGCATAGGCGGACGTTGAAGTTGGAATGATACTCGTCGCACACGTAAGTCAGAGGAATTTAAATATTATAATATGTAGTTGCGCACTCGTTGGATGATTTTGTTGTCGGAAGGAAATTTATTAATTACCAAACAAAATATAATTATTAATGATAAATTAATAGTCCTCAACAATCATCACTTTTTAATAACAACTGCGATCAATTATAATTATTAATCACATGAGCGGCAGCAGCCTTGCTAAGGTGGCAAAAATAAAAACACGAGTACCCCCAACCTGTATACATTTATCGATCTTGGACTATCGATCTCAACATAAAATGTACACAACACCAAGAATGCGTATTTGCATATTTATGGATTATGTATGCATGTATTGTTATGTATTGTACGCCGGTGCAATCGGAAATAAAATATTTAATGGGTTATCCCATATATGCGGGCAATTGTTAGTTAATGATCGTGTAATTTGCTTCAGCCGTGCGATCATGTATGGTATTAGTATGTATGGAAGTGCCGGCACGTATGTATGTATGTATGTGAAGGTGTATTATAAGCCGGTGAAAATATATATATACATATGGATGTGAGCTATGTATGTTATGTTGATATAATTGTAATATGCGCAACAAATAAACATGTATATTTTCCTTGTATTGGCGTTTTATGTTGTGTGGGACGGATTGTGTGCACATACATATGTACGTACTTGCACCTGTGGAATGGCGACGGATCTCAGCAGCAGTACATCTTTACATACATATATGTATGAGGTGCCTGTTGTAGGGGGAGAAAAAACCTCGCTTGGAATGATTCCGGGAGACCGGTAGGCAGGCAAGAGGGCCAACGGAGTAGGCAGCATGAGTGGTTTAGGCAATTAAGAGCGATAACAGGCTTTGGAGTGCCTATATGGGGTGCCAGAGTTGGCGGAAAATGGGACTTAGGTGATATGTACATACATATACTTGGATGGAGATGCAGATGACGGACGGAGTGTTTTCGAATGAGCAAAGCTGGTACTTAGCTTGGATTCTGGTTCCTCAAAGTTCCCGCGCTGCAAGCTGGATCGTAGGGGGGAATCTCTCCAATGCTTAATGTATCCGGCTCGAAGGACCAAAATGAAGGTGCACGCAGGCTTCGGGGGAATCCAGAGGGCGATGTGGGCTAGGTGGGCGATCTCGGGGGAAATCGTTAGAAAAGAGAACACAAGTATGTCTATTCAAGATACGTTTTATTCCAAGCATGACTTTTACATTTCATTTTTCGTGATCCCTCAATCTTCTCCAACTCCCCCGCAAGGTATATAAAAACCCGGTGAGGCCGTGGCTTAGTGATTGGTTGGGAACGCTGGGGGTCGAACGCCAACAGTATTAAAAATGCTTTTTAAATACGGTCATATTTAACCTAAATACAAAACACTTCAAAATAACTATAACATATTAAATTTGTAGTTTAATATGTTTCATATTTAAATTGAATATTATTAAAACTTGATTTCAAAATTTTTCTTTTAAAATCCAAAGGAAAAACTTTTTATTTTAAATATTCCATATTAAATGAAATCAAATATTTTTTGTATTTATTTTAAATATGGTTATATTATTTTTGTATTACCCTCGAATTCCAGACTGGTTCGCGCTGCTGCAGCCTTGAATACAAAGTATTCTACTCATGTTGCGATTATTTCTAGTTGAAAACTTTAACCAATTCACACCATTAGGACTTGAAATGTAGTTTGCGTACGCAAAATAATAACCAATTAGTTAAAAATTAATATAAATTTAAATATGAAGCATATTAACATTAAATATGAAACATATTAAATTTGAATATAAAACATATTAAATTTAAATATGAAACATATTAAATTTAAATATGAAATATATTAAATTTAAATATTTCTATATTAATATCAAAATTTAAGTGAAAAATATTCAATTTTAATACAACCACTCTTGGATGAAAATCAATGGTATAAATATTAAAATCTAAGTGAAAATATTAAAATTTCAGGGCTTTTTTCTATCGGTGTACTTACACTAGACTTCAAAACAATTCAAAAATAATCTTAACATAAAACATTGACTAAGACGACGACATGACGAAACATACATGTTTAATGAAGTTTTGATTATCCTTTTATATATCAAAAATAAAAAAATGCTTACATACCATTATAAAAATGAAACTATTCAAACTACTCAATGTTTTATACTAAATTATTTAATCATGATTACATGATCTTTTATACTCTCATTCGTCTTTTCTTCTAAAATGAGATCTATGCTGATTGGTTGTTGCGCTAGGTATATAGTTGTAATTATGTAAAAGCCAGATGTGAGAATAGGATTTCAAATATTATATTTTCTGTCTTTATATACATACATACATACATGTATACGTATGTACATAAACCATTCAAATGAAAACATTATATATATAAAAATGGACCGTGTGCTAGGTTTTTATATATTACATATGCTCATAACTCGAAACCCTATATAAGAACATCTAACTCTTAAGATACTTTAGTTCATTTGCTATTCGAAATGAGTGAATTTCATTGCGAGCTGTGTTATATGAAAAAAAGTTTTAGGTCCCGCAATGGACTGAAACAACACGTATTAAAAATTCATAACTTCAGTTATCAAAAATCAAAATCATCATTTTACCAATGTTACTTATGTCCTGGCGCGATAAAGTTTTGGCTGCGATTTGACTTCAATATGCATGTTTTATTAAAGCATAACGTAGAATTAAAACAATTAAATAACTACTTAAATATGCCGTTTTAATATGATGTGAAATTCAACCAATAAATACATTCAATAGTACCTGCATTCTACCTAAAATCTACTTATTCTTTTTGTGTAATCCTCCCTTAGAAAAAAACCATGTTGTAAACGAATCCTATGAGTCTCTTGGTGGAGTCAAATTTCACCAATCAAAGTAAAAAAAAAACTACCCATTGAAAATAAATATTGTTTTAAATTTATATTGTATTTATTATATATTATTTGTAGAAAAATACATAAATTATTTGTATTAAACATAAATAAGAATATTATTAAAAGTGCTTCTCGGCTCTTTCTACCGCAGCTATTAATTCGGCATTATCTTCGTCGCGAAGAAGTTCCTCGAATCGTTTTCGGTCCCCTTCGTCATTATCATCGACCAAATCGAATATACTGTCATCATCCGGGAAGTTGAATGTCTGAATTTCATCAATCGGAGCAGCAGCCATTAGGTTATCAAGACTATCATCCCATATAATATCACTTAAGACGTTCCGTTGCATTATATATTCTTGCGTTTTAATTCCGAATATCAGCGAAAGGTCCACGGAGTCGGGCTGGGTGTCCAGATCTATAGTTGTCTCAGGTTGCGAGTTTATAAAAATAATTTCGAGGTCATCCATCTTCGTTTAGAATCCACTAGTTTATGATAAGGCTTGCAGCTGTGAGTAGCTATTATATAGGCATGTGACTATAGGACAGTGTTAGGCATACACACACAGACAAAAGAAATGAAAACGAAAGTAAACGAACAGTCAAGGTGCTAGGAGGACCTTTTACAGAAAAAACCATTAGCACCATTAAACCATAAACCAATAGAGATAAATGACCCAAAAAAAAAAAAATAGTGCCGAAAATTCATTTGAAAGGGACGGGATGAAACACTTGCTTGAGGGATGTTTGAATCGTTGTAGGGAACCAATCACATAAGCAGAGAGAGGGATAGTTGTTTGATGGTTGCTGTCCAGGATTATTGATCCTGGATTTTTTGACAAAGTTAGTTCACATCTTGACCGCTAGATGGCGCCACAAAAGTAGTAAGGATATGGGGCATTGGTTTGGACTCGCCACAAAGAGCATTCGATATAGGAGTGTAGTATATTTACTATAAGTCGAATTGATTAATTTTTGTCTTCTCATTCTTTATGACGCCATCTAAAAACCATGATTTTACATAATATTTCCATATGCTTGGCTAAATATTAGATCCTGAAAGCATTTACATATATTCACAATGTAATGTTAATAAATATCCTAAAAGAATGTGTTTAAGCATGATCATGTAAGTAACAGATCCTATAAGAATTTATTTCTTAATAGGTATGTTAATGGTTGACACTAAAAAAAATTTTTGTTTAAATGAACACCTAGATCATATCCTATACACACACCTGTAAAGGACTCATGCTAAGCAGAATATCCGATGGCAGGCAACACTAGCGCCAAGTAGTGAGAATTTAATCGAATATCGAGATCCTAAACCACTTTCTCCGACGTGGCGCCACCTTGTGAGAATTTACTCGAATATCGAGATCCTAAACCACTTTCTCCGACGTGGCGCCACCTTGTGAGAATTTACTCGAATACCAATGCCCCATATCCTTACTACTTTTGTGGCGCCATCTAGCGGTCAAGATGTGAACTAACTTTGTCAAAAAATCCAGGATCAATAATCCTGGACAGCAACCATCAAACAACTATCCCTCTCTCTGCTTATGTGATTGGTTCCCTACAACGATTCAAACATCCCTCAAGCAAGTGTTTCATCCCGTCCCTTTCAAATGAATTTGCGGCACTATTTTTTTTTTTTGGGTCATTTATCTCTATTGGTTTATGGTTTAATGGTGCTAATGGTTTTTTCTGTAAAAGATCCTCCTAGCACCTTGACTGTTCGTTTACTTTCGTTTTCATTTCTTTTGTCTGTGTGTGTATGCCTAACACTGTCCTATAGTCACATGCCTATATAATAGCTACTAATACTGAACATCGACGTGCACCATAATCATGCGTTCTTCAATTCTGATTGGTATTGGAACAACTTTAAATAACGCTGACGCATGTCGACCAAACAAAGGTATCTTCGCGTATATTATAAGTCTTTTGTCAACAAATAAGCCCCCAGCTGTTAGCAGAGAATAAACTTC